ATTTGGGGACTAAATTTGCGACTATCACAGAGATCTAATTAATCTGTAATGTACCAATAAAACTTAATTGTCTTTGATCTATTAACTTACGAGTCTCAGCGGTTGCTGAGTGGAGGGTACTGTAGTCACCAATCAGCAAGAAACAACAACTGAATAAAGGGCAGATGAGCTCCTCGGAATCAACAGCTAAATTTTGTTCCAAATTTCTTGTTTAACTGCATATATCAGAACCGGATCTTTACACCTTGAGTTCGACACTCGGTGCTATGAATCCTTTGGAAATAGCGTGGTATAAATGATTTATTCTCCCGTTCATAGGATGTGTTACAGCGGGAACCAGTCAAGTTTCCACTTACCAGCCCACCCCCTTTACAAAGTCACCTCTTATCAAAGTTGTGATTTAGGTTGGTTTAGTCGGTACAGCTAGGCTATTTTATTGATAGTACTAAAAATATTTTCCAGATCTCATTCATTCGAAGCCGCACTACGTACAATAGTGCAATACCTCGCCTGTCGACTGACATGTGCATATACGGTGAAGGTTTATTTAAATTTTGCTATATCTAAAAAAAATGTGGTTTACTGAAAAGAAATATATTCCATCGAGTATTGATATGCTAAATTCCTTCCAAATGACAACAAAATTATTTATTAATTACTGTTTATATATTCTTTGCAGTCTAAATTGTTTACTACCATCCTGTATAATTTAATAATTTTTTTTTTGTCTAATACTGATGAAAGGAGAACAAAAATCAATAAAAACTAATGTTTTGACCAATCAGTGCAAAAAACGACCACGTCAAGCAGAGAGGCATGAGAATAAAATAATCGTTTGGGTACTGGTTTTTTGTTCTAAATACTTCTTTGTTTTGCGTTTTCAAGTTAAGGGTTTCAATCCCTCGCTGTTCACTTTCGCTTGTGTCCTATAGCAAGGTGCTATATAAATACCAAGTAACAAATAACAAAATAACAAATAGAGTAATTTACTGTAAATTCTTTAATATGCATAAGTAACTCTAACATACCATAGTAATACTACCTTAGAAAATTATCAAATTGCATAATTATCTGTTAAATTTGAAGAGTGGAGAATTGTTAACATCACCAGCCTAACATATAAATATATATATACAACCAGTGGTAAACTACCTAGACCTAATGTAAACCTTTACAATCTACATTCCATACAAAAATATATTTATATATCATAAATGCATATTATTACAAAATTATCTATATTTGTCCATTAACTGCCAGTTTGAACATTAAAACCCCAAGACAAAAATATTTATCTTATTTATCTAAAATAATATATAAAATAATATTAATTTTATATACCTATTTTCAATGTTTAAATTAAATGCCATGTACAGATCAATCACTATATAAATAGCTAACATTAAGAATAAAAACCACAGAAAAAATGCTTAGGGTAAGGGTAGGAAATTGTAGACCTTTAAGCATATTTGCATAAATTTTAAAAATCTGGATTGAGTTATACACCTGAAATTTTTTTTTTTTTTATAATCAACAACCATTATTGGTCTTTAATTACATGCATAATTCAAGGTTATCAGATTACTATTTAATTAGCTAACCAGCGACTAGTCAGTATAATCAATTAATTATGGGTGGTCTCCAATAGAATACTGTCCACAATTCCCACCCTTACCCTAGCTTATTGCTAAATATTGAGCTGTCAATAGACCTTCCACAAAGCGCCACTCCTTGGATATTGTTGCTAAGGTGCCCAAAACGTGTAAGCTTACATAAACATGTGTGTTTGTTGGAAACCATGTGTTTGTTCATTTCCTGTGATAGCAGGATTTTTTTCCTCAAGACTAACGCAAGTCCAAAATTATTAATTTATTTTTCTTATCTATTTTATATTTTTATTTATACCTATAATATATTAAGATATCGGAAAATAATTTTGTATACTGTATAAAACAGTTAGGTTCATCTCTATAGTATGTTCCTTTTATGCATACCCTATGTATTGACCTACCTGTATGTATTGACATATATGACATAGCATATTGTGTGCTTTAGTCCAGACTGTGGGCACGTTTAAATCACTAATAATTTTCTTTTTTATTTTCTAAAATCTTGACTGTGGGCTGGCTTAGCCTGCACAGGCAGTTGGTGGATGTGGAACGCCATGCCCGCTATCAAACATGGGCAAAAAGTGCACTGCCCGTGATCGGTACTGTATACTAAGTTTAAGTTCCAAAATCAAATATAACATTTTGATTCAAATTCAGATCCCAAAACTACTAAACAAATATTCTAAAACTACAGTTTTTTAGGGAAAATCATATTGGATTGTCATCTTCAAATTAACAATGTTAGATTCAAATTACATATTCCAGTTACATAGTACTGTATTACTCTCATTACTACCAGCATTAAAATTAGGATAAAAAAAAACCCTGGTTTCATATATGTTAATATGAGATACGAAAATAATATCTGACTTAAAAAAAAACAAATAAAAAACAAATATTACTAGATACATAAAAAAAACAGTCATTAATAATAGTGTCAAAGTATTTTTAAAAAGCTAAAAAAACAAATTTATAAATATTATATAAACAGTTAACACATTATGAATTTAATTTGTCATTTTTTATAAAAAAATAAATTATTCCCACATGTCAAGATTATGTGGCAAAAGTTAAGCTCATTATTAGCATACAAGTGATGTATGACAGTGATGTGTAACTGTGATGATAAAAATCCACAGATACGACATGCTGAACTATATGTTTACAATATGCTACACTTAATGCATAGATTCATTTGAAGTGTTTGTTCCTGTTCCAAAGCCACAATGATCACTTCCTCTTTTTGGATTGGATGAGGTCGTCTAGGTCCATAATTGCTTATGCTAGGATATTTGCTTCCATCTGAATGGCATCCAAGTCATTTGATAAATTCTTACCTAAAAAAATTCACAAGAGGAATGTTAAGAATAATGTTAAAATCAATATTGTTAAGATTACTGTTGATCAATGTTTTATAACTCCAGATATGCAATATTACTAAATGAGAAATATGTCACTATCATAGTCACTTTGGTATTCTGAGAGATTTTGAAATTAAGTATGAAATAAGCATTGACATTAAGCATTAAATGCTATCTAGGCCTATTCTCTGACTACCATGGCCTCCCTATGCATTTTTTGTCAGTCTATGCCTAAAATCTTTAGTATATTAACACCTCTTTTTCTATAATTATTCAACTCATAACTTAATATAGAATGAAAACATGCAATATGCATAATTAGAAATTTTAGTATAGGTCTGTGACTCACCTTTCTGCATTAGAAACCAGTTGTTCCCTGAAATCTTGCCTTGGAGTAGATCAAGAACTGCTTGGTGCAAGAAAACATATTGAGCCTAGAGAAATAAACCAACATAGAAATTACGTATATTCAAAAAAATTGTTAAATACCAAAACCTCCCATCTTCATACAAAAATGATAATAGGTCTACAACTTTTTTTGAACATGCATTTTCAGCCTAAATGTACTGCAACATTATGTTACCCACTAACATATTCAAATTCAACGCAATACGTTATTGTTACTCGCATACACAACAACATCACAAAAAAATAAATCATACCATAAAGATACACATACAAAAGAAGCTCTAAATTTGAATAATTATAAACTTAAATAGTTACCTCAGTTTGAATCATATAACAGCGTTCTTGCCTCATTTGCGCAACAATGCCAAAGATATCAATGGTGTCATTTGGTTTCTGACGCACCAATTGTTGCGATAGTATATCTAAAGCAATGAAAACAGCTGTTCGGCCTACACCAGCACTACAATAAAAAAAAAAATCCACAGTGAATGGTGTGAGTGGCAGAGTGAATCAGACAAATCATTTGTTGACTAAATAATTATTATTTATGAAGCCAATTTTTTCCCCCTTTGAATCACATGGTTATATTACTAATATACATTGTAAAATTTCAAATAATATAATTTGTAATTTATTGCTATTATCTAAATCTATATAAATAATTTCAGACACTGAACACACTTTAATATACTGTATGTTTTATTTGGGTTTTAACAACTCTGTCATTTTATATAACTTTTTTAAATATCTATGTATTTTATGTTGTTTTGATGTAGTATGTAATATTATTGTGATTTCTTTTTACACTAATCTTTTTATAGAACTTTTTTTTTTTAATGGATTTTATGTATATAATATTTTATTGAATTTTATGTGTGTATTACAACTCAGGAAAACAAATTTCATATATTTTTTGTGATTGATTAATAAATCTGAATTTGAACAAATATTTCATCAAATATTTCATAACTTTCTAAATTTTCTTTGAAGTCCAATTATGGTTGTAATTTTCAATAGTCTAGAGGGAGATAAAGAAACAAGTAGTAGCACCAACTGATTCTCCTTACCTACAATGAACTACAGTAGGGCCTGCATGTGGGGAGGACTGAGCATGTATGGTACGCACGAAGCGCATAAATGCATCAGTCTCACTTGGCACTCCATGAGCTGGCCATTCGGTGTAGTTGAAATGCCTGACAGCTCTTACTACACCATCCTGTAAAATTGATCAAAATAAATTAAGTTACATTACACAGACCTACACTTATTAGATTTTTGTCTGTTTTAATTGTCCTGACCGAAGTGGCGTCAGCAGGGGGCCAGAAAGGTATTTAAAAACCCTCTCCTTGAAGACTACCAGGAATTTTCATTCAGACTCTAGTCGGCTTAATTTTCGGACCCCCCCACCCCGTCAAATATGTCATACCCACTGTTGACAAATTGTTGGAGCCACCACTGTCTGACTGGGGAAAATCTGTATGACCTGCTTTAACTGTACAAGAGTCAGTAACTGATTTTACAGCATTAGAATTATCAATATTAATTAAAAATATTGACAACATTTTATATCAATATGAACCATATTAAAAAAAATAATAAAAAAATAATATCAATAAAAATTTCTAGTATTATATTTGTTTTATTCCTGTGAATATTCTGTTATTCCATTTACTGATTTATTTAAACGCCATGACGTATCATAGCAGCTTCCTGGCTTTGTCTGCTTCTATGCCTTTATTGGACTTGTACGGAGGAACAGAAGCTATTATACCAAACCCAGGATTGACTTTCTTAACTTCCTGCTAGTCTTCAAGCCCCTGCAGCTTCTCCATGTTTGCACCAATGGGCTTAGTGCTTGGGTCCTGGTAACCCTTCCCCTCCACCATTGAGGTCAACACGTCTGGTCCAATGGACTACAAAATCATGATGCCTACCTTTTCAATAGTAAATTCGCGGATGACCCACTCAGGCATTGCTGTCTCTGATGTCATAGTGACTGTAATATTGCCGTAGCTGGTTGAGTCCTGGTCAAATGGCCAGTAATGGTCACACTTCACCTGTAGATCATCAAGAAATGTTTATTATATTGGAGTGTCTAATTAAAGGTGCTTTTTTTTTACACAACAGTACTACAAAATCGCATTTTAAGAGTGATTTTTTTTTACAATAAATCATTAGAATTGCATAATAATAATAATAATTGATTTATCAGGAAGATTGTAGAAAATGTCATAATTGTTAGTTGTAAAGTCAATTCATAAAATGTTGTTTTAGATAGCATTTGGGAGTTAAAAAAAAGGATATATGCTTCCTTTAAAAAGTAAAACACTAAACTGAAATTGTGTTATCCATAGGGTACTGCATATTTGTGATTGTATTAACATTATCATTAAATATTTTGATAAATTTTAGCACACGAACCCGTCCTTGTTCAACGCACTGACCAACCATGACAATGGTCGGTACATTGTGGTCCCAAATCATCCTCCAGAAGTCGTTCTTGGTGTCGGGTAATGGTCCCTGCGTTGCTACATACTCCATGTCACCAGTTATACCCTAAAACAAAATAACAACGAATATAGTATAGTACATAAAATACATATGCTAAATGCACCAACAATCTATCCAGGCTATCAAATTTTATTTGATAAAAACTGTTGTACACCCAAATATAGTCATGATGTACCTATAGTATGGCCATGACATGATGATACTAACGCCTGTACTTAAATCTCACCAGTACATATATACATAATGACTATTATATCATAGTTCTGATACATTAAGTTTGTATCATATTATTTAAACAAATCATTGAGTGATGTTTTTATGTATGAGTGAGATACTTATCCAGATGATTCCATTAATTTTAAGGTAAAATTTTGCATTTATCGGTTTAGCCATGTCAGTATAAAAGAAACAGACCAAGTAATTAATTATGTAAATTTCAGAAACTTACTGTCATAAAACTGGCATTGATGTAGTCTTCTGCACCAGAAATCTGAACCCTATTGTGATCATCTGTAACAGAAAAATATAACAATACTGATCAAATGGCTAAGACAATTTTATTTTTTTATATGACAAACATTTATATTTATGATAAATGAAAAGATTGTGATTTTTTTTTTAATGAAATCTTGAGCACCCAAAATTTGGAATTTATTCTTCCAACTATAAAGTTATGGTCACCAGATTCAACAGACTTTGAGTGGTCAATTAGTGTAGACTCCTGTCATTAGCAGCACACATAGTTTTAAATAAGATCTACCACAGCGAATTACATGCAAACTTATAAAGGAATTAACTTTTAATTGTACTATATTTGTATTAATCATATATATGATCATTGTATAGTTTTTATTAATATTATGTCTATTTATATGTTACCTCTATGTTAGTGCAAGAATTGCATGGATATTATTGTATATACTGTATACTAAATAATATGCACGGAAATAATATGAAGGTAATTAATTATCTGGTTTGCAGATATGACATTTGTTTTTTGCAATTTTTAACAAACCAGTAAATACTGACTTTGCAAAAATCAGTCTAAAGTTTTTGAAATAAAAAATATATATATACGCTCTATATTGTGTATTATTTTGTGAGCCCGCTTGACTTACATGGCAAGATGTTGGTGTAACGATTACTGTATCGGTTTTCAGGAAGATCTCCAGCCACAGAAGTTTGCTCCAGACCTATAGTTCTTAAATCCTAAAGGAAAGGCAAAATCAATATATATCAATTTTTATTAAAAGTAGTGGACATTTAGCTGATGTCTCTTCGTTAACACTGGATTTTTGTGATGATTAGTGGTACGTGCACAATTCATCCCTAAGGGATAGGCAAATGGAAGCCATAATCAGCAAAATTAACACTTTGTTCATTACAAATATGTCACAAAATTTTTAAGATCTTGACTTTTTTAGAGAGTGTGGGAATTAAAAAATGACAAGAGAAAGGGCACAGCACTGCAGATTACTCCTGATCAGATAATAGCTAGTTTTCACCGCACAACGTTAACCTCAACGTCAACAGATGACATCATAATTTATTCATCTTGCGTTGCGGAGTACGTGAATTTCAGGATTTTATGTGCTCGACGTACGTTAGTTAGGGGTTTGCACGTGCGTATTTCAATTTGTTTACAAAAGTGGCGGAGCTATCGCATTGCATGTTGGGTACTAACGTTAAAGTTAAGGTTAACATCGTGCAGCAAAACTACCTAATAATCTGAAACAATAATACACAAAAGGTATTAAAACGTATTTTGTAATCGACAAATAATATAAATAGAGAGCTATGTGAAATGAAAGAGTTATGCATACAGCCAACCTATGTATTAAATATCAACGTACTTCATATTCATCGGAAAACTTGTAACGCCCAGTTGAGCTCATGGACTTGAAGTGATTTGCAAACCGTGTATTTGCAACTGGTCTGATAATAGAAAAAAAACCAACTTAACATATTCAGAAGGATAAGCAAAAAGTTTACACATTAAACATGTTTTATCCCCATAATCAGTTTTACTCTTTACTTGTTGCAATCCTGTGTAGATTAACGTTGCATAAAGAACTAATGGCCACCCCTCCTTTCAGACACTCCTGCTAACTCTATTAAAGGCACACTATTTTTGGGTGCGAAGCAAGAGTAAATGAGTCTTTTTAATGCTATGGCCAACATTTATTCAGTGGACATCTATAATAAGAGGACTCTATTTTTGGTCCATAAGGTCATAAGGTGTTGCCCAGCTGTAAATTTCTATGCAACAGACCTATGATAGCAACTTACCTTGAAAAGCGTCCTCTCCTGGATGTAGAACTCTTGGATTGAGGAACATCAACAACCGTTGAATTATTAGCGTTTGTATTATAGGGTCCTCCATACACAACGTTTTCTATGGGTTGCTTGCCATTAAAAGTATATCTAAATTTTTAAAAAAACAATGAATTAGGTGCCTGCATTAGGTGCCTATGAACAGGAAATGTTGTAGCTAGTGAGTATGTTTTACAGAATTAAATGGAAAGAAAGTTACATTATACAAGCTACTATATTTTTTATTAAAAAGCAATAATTTACATAAAACGAATAAATTAGCATGAGTAGTTTGTTTAATTACTAAAACATATTATTTGAACTGGGATATTCATTCATTCATTCATCTTTTATTTCGGAATTTCATGTCCATACAAAAGAACAACAGTTAAACCAATACAAATACATATAAATATTAAAGACAAAAGTGAAACTGCATCAAGAAAAACATCAAGATCAAGAAATCATCTTAATGGACAGCAGTGTTCCACTTATACATTTTAGAATTGGAAAGAGCATAATGCTTAATGGCCAAAATGATAGAATTAGAGCTGATTTTCACACGGTTCCTGAAACTATGTATAGAGTTTCTAAGATACTCGTCAAAAGACGGTACACCATTGGATACAAACATAAAACTCTCACTACAGTGCATCGGTTGTCGCAGTAATAAACGAAGGGCATTATTATAGCAGGCTTTTAACGATCTTATAGTACCTTTATTATATCTACATCAAAGAGTAGAACAATACATACTAACACAGTAGCATTTAAACAAATAACATTTAGTCGTCATAGAGCATTTACCAAATTTCCAACTGAGAGAGTTAGCTCTTATACATAGCGAACGGTATTGATGTTTAATGTCACACTCATCGCAAAGGTTATTGTTTATAACGTGACCAAGGTAGGTAGTAGAGTTAACAAATAACAAAGGGATGATTTAAGTGTAATACGAGGCTAGCCTTGCAGGTTACGCACCTTAGGACAGATTACCATACATTTTGATTTAGACTCATTAAACGTGATATCATAATCACTGATATGCAACATGGATACAAATTTGTGTAAAATAGACAAATAAACAGGTGTGTGAACACTTACAGGTCATCATCATTACAGGAGCAAATGATGCATATGATTAGAATGAAAAAGATGATCACGAAAAACCCGACTGTAGCAGCAACAATGTAGTTAAAAATCTTGGGATCGTGGTTTGTGACAACAGGAGAGGACCAGTCGGTGTCTGAATATTCTCCTTCTTCATTATAACCACGGATTGCATACCTAGAGAAGTAAATAGATTTACTTCAATCAGAAACACTATTAACACTTTATCATTCAAAGCAGGTGGGTGGAACAACTGGGATCTGGCCCACCATCAAGGACACCACACCCAGCTATACTAGGAATTAAAACTTGGCGTGAAAAAATATTCAGAATAATTTTCTGTAAACAAGTAACACTTTTTTTCCAATCATTTGAAAGTAAAAATTTATGTCAGTAATTATGTCCAACTAGATAATTAAAGAAAAAACCTTGAAATATTATAATACATTTTAACAACAATCATTAAAAAAAACCTAATAACTTGACAAATATATCAAATATATCAACATAAAGAGAATATTAAATTTGAAAGATCATTAGCATACCTCCAAGCAGTGCCTGTTTTAAGTGGCCCATTGCACGGTTCTGTACTTGATCGGCAAGGGTCTTCGTCTCCAATGACAACGTCAACAGTGTCGATAGACTCTGCCTGTCGTTTGCGACGCTGCACCCCATTGGAGAACCAGCTACGTCTTGGCCCAGACTGATAAATTCCCCAGACATCATTACCTTCAATTGTCCGGTATGTTGGCAAAACTTCAGGGGCTGGGATAGTCAAATCTATGGAGTAGTAGTAATAAGTATTACTTTATGCATGATTAATGTAATAGTTGGTAAAGTTATTTTCAACAGATTCAGACTAAATTTTCTGGGGTCCAAACCAAGGACATTGGTGAGGAACCCTGGACAGGGTTCATGGGGAGAGACTACGATTTCGGATGGCCAAAAATTGTGCTTTTAGACCACAATATTAGGGAATGACAACCAAAATAACGTTATTTTGATAGGGAAATTAATATCTTTAGTCTGACTACATCATTGTGGCTGCAGACAACAGGAGGTTGTCCAACAGTGGGGAATTTTCCTCTAACACCATCCCAACTATGACCCCCACCCCCTGCCACTGCTTGCAGAAACCAATACCTAAGTAGTGGTGACAAGGAAAAATCATATACTGACCTTCACTATCTGTAACTTCTCTAATCATGACAACAAAAGCTATAACTGCTCCGTTCAGATCTGAGAACAAATCACTCCTGATTGTAATAGTGAAAGTAGTGTCAGAACTTGCAGTGACGATAACCAGGTCAGGTGAATCAACATTGATAAGTGGAGCTGCAATGTAAAAATATAAAAAAATAGACAATGAAAGTACAGTAATCAAAAACGATGCTTGATAGTTTAGAGTGATACACTGATATTTCCTAAGTTTCATTTTACAGAACTTGCCTAAAAATAATGGAATCTTCTATTCCGGTAGTCTATAATAAATCTTCTCATGGAATTTTGACTTAATTTTCCACATAGGCAAACTTGAGGGTGTGGATAGAGATTTATATTTCGGGTGAAGAACATGGAAAAAATTCTTATAAATAAACAATAAAAATAAAAATAACTGTATTGGTTTACTTATAAAATTTTTTTCCATGTTCATTTATCAGAGAAACCAGGTGAAATTATTTGAGCAGTACGGGTGAAGCATCAATGGCTGTATTCGACTGGATTGTTTCGTCGACAACGATATTTCGTTGAGTATTACTTTTATTCGGCTAGTTCGTAATATAAACTTCGTGGACAACGGAAATGAATGTAAACACATGGTCGATTGGTCAATTTAGCAATAAAATTTGCGTTAACATAATTTAGATTAATTTTCAGAAAATAATATTTATAATATTTATAAACAAAGTCAAAAAATAATTGTAGGCTAACGAAATTCAAAAACTGCAGGAAAACATATTTTTACGAAAAACCCATATGCTGAGACGTTACCGTGTATTGTGGTAACTATGCAACCATTTTGTTTTGTCGAGTATTTACCAGTTTTCTATTTCGTCTGGGCATCTTCGTTAAGTAGAATTTTACCACTTTGCTTTGTCGAATAGGGCCAATGAAAAGGTTAGAAATTAGAGAATATATCGCTATAATATATTTTTATTTAAAATTCAATGTATCCTGGTACACTTACGATCAATATCTAATGTGATGCCATCTTGTGTGACTGGGTCTCCCTGACCCTTTGAGTTTGAAGCTGTGATCTGAAGTAAATAAAAGTGACAAGATATATGTGATAGCTGTCTCTAGTAATAACAGTAAAGTTTAATTTATACACAATGCATAAAACAGTCAATAGTGTATTAGAGGGCATCAAAGGAAAACATTAAACTGTTGCTTAGAAAGAATTAAAAAACACAAAAACGTGTAAAAAAAAGGTTAAATTTCAAGGATAAAAACTGAAGTGATGTAAAATACGAATTTGTTGTGCTTCAAACAGAGGCCAAATTGTAAAAGAAGGACGAGTGTGGATTAATGTAAAGAGAGGGTTGATGTTGTGTATATAGCTCTGGATTATTAAATTGTGTTTGACAAAATATTTTGTAGTGCCTATACAATATATGGTCATGATGTGATGTCATCATGATCATTTTTAGGCATGGCACATGTTTTTGTCTGGACAGGGACTTACACTGGGTAAAACTCTCTCATTGTTTTTAAGGGGTGGTCAGTTAAAAATACTGACACATGTTAGTTATTCATATCTTTATAAATCTCATAAATCCAATGTACAGCATCAACGGACAACAATCTACTAATGAAATAATGACAATAACAATAATAATAATGATAATAAACAAGAATGCTGATGAGTAAAAAAAACCCACAAGAATAAGCTGCTTACTGTGAAAGTGTAGGTGTACCCTGGAGTAAGACCAGAGATAGCAATGTTCTGGAATACCTCATGGTTTGGTTGAGCTGTGATTGTGTAATAAGACTCTCCAAGAGTTTCGCCATTCTGAAAAGAAAACATTTTTAAAAATATATCAGTAAAATGTGATATGATAAATGTGTTGATATATTCAGGCACATATTTTGAAATGCACTTGAGTGGAGGAGGATGGTGACCCCTTGGAGAATTTGCATTCTGTTGTGCCAGACTTTCACGACTTTCTAACAATTTTTAAACTTTTCTTTTGTGAAGTACATTGAAGCTTTTGCATAATGCGCTAATATATCGTTAGTACAACTTATTATTATTATTATTATTATTATTAGTATTATTATTATTATTAGTATTATTATTATTATTAGTATTATTATTATTATTATTATTATTAGTATTATTATTATTATATTGTAGTGCAAGGCATTACCTTTTAATAAGTATGCTTGAGACAATAAATGAACACTTTTTAAGAATTTTACATAATATATGGTCATAATAATCTACATTCCAATTATAAAATATTATGACAATTAATTAAAAATACAAAAAAATTAATTGGTTTTAGATAATTAATTAAATTAGACAATTAATTAAAAATACAAAAAATTTAATTGGTTTTAGATAAGAAACTAGAAAACTAATTATAATCATCACTTTCTCCTCACTTACACGTGTTCCATAATAAGATATAACATAGCCGGTAATGACGCCATTTGGTTCTGATGGGGCGTTGAAGGAAACTAACACTTGGTACGGCTTATCTTTGATCACATTAAATGACATCACAGGGCCTGGCACTGAAATGAAAGTGTAAAAAATATTCAGTTAAGCCTGAAACTTCTAGAAACAAAATATTTTCATTATTCACTAAAACTAATGGATGTTTCCATCTAACGTACATTTAAGCTATTATTTTGTGGGACCTTAGCAAAGATATCCAAGTGGCTGGACACTGTGATACACAATCAATCATGCACATGTATATATGTATATAGATAATCTTATCCATAGATTTCTACTATGTTTGCCATACTGTCACATTCTATACCTTTAGAAAAAGTCCTTTGTCGATACACAACTGGTTGACTGAGGGCGCCATTCCTCTGAGTTTGAATAGTGTACTCAACGGTAGTATGAGGGGGGATGTTGGAGAGTGAGAGCTGAGTTGCGGAGGTAGAGACTGGTGAGGCTGGTAGAATACCAATTTCATTCGGTGTGTACGAGATCAGGTAGCCATCGACAGGAGCAGGGGCTGCCACCCATGAGATTGTGATTTCGTTTTCAGTCACATCAACTGATGCTACTGCTCCAGGTGGGTATGGGCCTACGGGTGGGAAAGATTAATATGATTCAGAGTCCTGTCTCTTATACACATCTTATATATATATATATATATTAAATATTTTTAATATTATATAGATTTTATTGTATGTGTTGCTGGGGCCTAGAGGAAAACAATGCTTTTGCAGTGACCAAGTCAGCCAGGGTAAAGAAGGAATAGATAAAATAAAATAAATAAATATAAATATTTTATTTGATATAACTTTATGTTTATTATATGTAAATAAGTTATTTAGGTACAGTATAATAAACTACTTGATATAATTTGGTTAATACTGAATACAGCATAAAACAGAGAAAACAAACTTGAACGAAAAATATGTCTATATTTAATAATTGTTAATTTTTGTCAAATAATACAGATGATAAAAATAATAATAATGATAATAACAATAATTATATTTATAGTACAACTTACGCGTTGAAACTAATTTTGTGTATGGATCACTTTGGAGTCCTCCAGATTCTGTAATAATAGTAACAGTATAACCTTGAGCCACATTCAGAGTTCCAGCCAGGAATGAGAGAGTAGTGCCTGCTGAAACTGTAGTTGTGTCAATAACGTTTGAAGAGCCCTGTATGACATAGGACAACACATATTGATCTACATCACCAGCTGCTGGGTCCCACTGAATTGTGAACGCAGTTTCTTCAGTAGTCTCTGTTGACGTTGTAACTCGACTAGGGCCTGCAGAAGAAAATTATCACTTTAAACTGGAGAATCTAACAGAATCTAATAAACTTTTCTAATGACCAAAAACAGCTCCACTGTCTCATAAGGAGAATTAGTCATGTAGAGCACCTTGCGAGTGTCTTTGTCTTGTGTGGTGAAGGGATCGATTTCTCTGTTTGGCTTTGCACCTAAAATTGTATAAAAACAAATAAAAAACATAAAAGAAACTTCCTCTCTAAAGTATACAGCTTTACTTACTTGTTCTCTGTGAAACGACTCCTTCATTACCAACCAACTCTTCACCACTATCCATAGCAACTACAGACAATCTGAAGGTGTACAACCGTCCTGGTGTAAGGTTATTGACAGTATACGAATTCACTCCAGGATTGTTCAAGACTGGGTTAACAGGGTCATCTGGACTGTATGTCAATCTATACTGATAGTTCTGGTCGATACCATCGGGTGTTGACCAGATAAGACTAACGGTTGTGGTAGTGAAGCCTGAAACTGATAGTGTGCTGTCTGGTGGCACTGTAAAGAGCATCATTTAAGTTCATGAGGTTATCAATAATACTAAGGCATCAATAACAGAACAATCTAAATGGAATTGCTTGTTTTTTTTTAAATTGCTAAAAAACCCAGAAAAACTTACATGTTGCATAATTTACTGTTGATCTGGAACTCTCTTCAGCCCCGGACACAGTGTAAATTTCGAACTGATAAACCCGGCCTGGTAATAAGTTAGAGAACAAGACAGATGTATCACCCTTAGGTATGGTGGCAGGGGATGCTGGCACTCCAGTGTTTGGAGTGTACTCAATTATATACTCATCAAAGATACCACCAGCAGCATTCCAGCTCAGTTGAATCTCTTGCGTTGTTCCACTATCAGCTTGGATGGACACAGACTCAGGCTCTGTGAATGAAAGTGCCAACTAATTAATATTTTTTGGTTTTTCTTCTGTATTAAGAACATATCATCATTCCATACCACACCAAATGTATATACAGTAGTACCTCGTTTTCACGTACCCCATTTATACGAACCCTCTGTTTTACGTACGCCTCGTATGGACGATGACGTCATCAAAAACCCCGAAAATATTCAAAACAAACGGCAATTTTGAGAGCAACCATAAGTAAAAAGAATATAACAATAAACTATAACAATAAACAAACCATAATGCAACGTATTTTCATTAAACAGCAACGTTGATTGAGTCTAATACCGGGTTGTTATAATCTAAAATCACGTGAACTGAGTGAGATGAACAACTACCGATGGTGCTCAAAATTATTGCTTTCCTCCTTAGCTTCGTGTGGCAAACCATGGAAGAACTCGTCTGATCGAATTTTCTACACGAAGCTGAGTAGACATAGTTTCGTACACGAACGCTAATTGGTTGGCTCGCCCAGTGCATAGCACATGGTTGCTATTTTACGTACACGAACGCTAATTGGTTGGCTCGCCCAGTGCAGCGCACATGGGTTTAGTTTGTCTCAACAGGCCCAGACAACACCACATCTCTGTTGTTTAGAATAGGCATGAAGGGGAATTCCCAAGTTATACCTTTGTCGTATAGGTAATCCTACAATATTTTCATGTTCTTTATTTTAGTTAAATAAAAGATATAAAGTGATGAATTAATACACTAGACACATGGTTTTATTTGAACACTTTATTATGACATCGTAAAGTGATGAATAAGAACACTAAACACATGGCTTTATTCGTAGGCCTAGAGGCTAGGTCTAGCCTACTATAGGTATCATCGTTCGTTCGTACATACGTTTATTGAGCGTTACGTACGTATTAGGTCAAAGGTTACCACAAATTTAACCCAACCTCTATTTTACGAATCCCCCGATTTACGTACGCCCTCTGGTCCCGTACCGTACGTAAAATCGAGGTTCTACTGTAGGTCCTTTGTGTTATAAACAAAATAATTCTTAATTTGAAACTTACTAGTCCGTTGCGTTGCTGTAACCACTCCCGTTGATTTCACTAAACCATTCTTCAGCAGACGAAGTTCAATTGTATAAAGCTGACCTGAATTCAGCATTTCAAGGTCCATCATACGGTCCAATGATCTACTTATAACAGCTGGTGAATTTGTGACACCATCAGTTGGTGTGTAACGAACCTCGTAGGCATTGAAGTCCCCAATAGCTGCAGTCCATGTAAATTCTATTTTTTCATCCGTGTAGCTAGTGATAGTGATTTCCGAATCAAATGCTGTGGAAAAAATTGTTCGTCTTCATAATCATTTCAGTATACAGTATTGATTAAACTATGCTAAAGAAACGCACACTAAAATGAATAAAATAAATTTGAACAAAAGTTGCTGCATACAATACTTTTGTTATGATAGTTATACTTTGTAAAGAAGTTGATGAATAAACGTATTGTAACAATACACAGTAAAAGTTTGGCAAAAGATTAACTGTCATTACAAAAGGATAAACTTACATGCACACATGATCTGTTCACATCCGATGATATCGTTTTCATTTGGATAGCCACCAAGAGTTATACCTTGTGCCTCTGCCCCTGTTTTCAACACCTCAACACATGCATACATGTACTGGTCACAGGTGTAACTGGAGAGATCAAGAGTGGCACTCACTCCCTGGAAGTCTAGCGCTGTTGGTGGAGACAACATTAGGTCTCGCTGACTTTGGGTCAGACTTGCAAGTGTTTCTGCATATCTCGGGGTGGAGTCATCGTTGGAAAGACTTACAAACACATTCAGGTCCCAAATGTTGCTGCCAGAAATAGTATTGCTTTCAACCCAAGGAAACACCTCAACATCAAATGTGAACATTTGTTGATTGTCTCCCTCAGCGACACCAGTATCATCAAAATCTGGCAATACCTGTTGAATGCCAATACCTAAACGGAATTTTTTTTAAATATAATGTATGTAAATTTTGTTAAAGACAAAATATAGAATTTCTTTTTAAGGCAGCAAAATATCATTTAGGGAGTTTCAAAATAAGTGGGAATTCACAATTTGTCTTTAAGTATTATAAAGTTTATACATCCAGCCTGAATTAATGTTCTGAATACAATTTGTGGAATAAAAAAATACAAATGGGGTAAACTGACCTAAGCATCGGATCTCTGTACATCCTGTTCGATCACTCAATGACTGACTGTCTGAAAAGTCAAAATCTGGAACAGCAGCTGCATTCTTATCAATCTCAACACACAGGTACATAACTTCAGAGCATCGCTTTCCACTGATATCAAATATTCCAGAGAGGCCTTCCAATGAAAATGTTACCCCAGGTATAAGATCTTTATTTAACTCATTTGATGGAATAGATGCTGATATAAAGTCTGTTCTCTGACTGCCATCTGCTACAGGACTCAAGAAAGCCTCTGCTGCCCATAAGTCATCACCATTGATGCCAGCAAAAAGAGCATCTGACATGACTGCAACATCAAAGGTTAGCTCTTGACTATTGCTTCCTTCTTTCATTGGGCTTCCAGATATGACAGTAACACCTACTCCAGTTATCTTTATACCTGTGAGCAACAAAACAATCATACAATCATGTATGAACAGCATGCTAAAAGGTTAAAAGGTAATATTCATTTATATTGCGCAAAATACGAGAGTCTTTATGCGCAGATCAAGTGTACAGATGTAACTGGAAAATATATTTGGTAACAAGATATGCTATACAAAAGATTTGTCATTATGGGTGTGGTGTGATATTATCATGCCCATATAGTGCATGTTTTGGCAAAATGGCGAAGTTTAAATTCAAGTTATTAGTATTTCATATATATTTAATATTTATTTTTATTATATTAAATTTAATGTTAAATCATACCCAACCGCAGGTAACCCACCACTTACAGAATGGATTAACAATAAAATAAAATGAATATAAGGGGTCATTAATTGAAATTGAACAATTCTGGCTCTATAGATATTGGGGATTACGTGCAGCACTTCTAAAATCAAGATAAAAATGTTTTTAAGATTATCTAAATATAGGGATACTGGCACCCTCCCAAAGAGCCACCTAGTTGGAAATAGATGATTTAAAGTGGTGGGTCTAAGGAAAAAACATTGTGACAAGCAATTTTAACTGTATTAGATTGGATTGGATTAATTTATTCGGTGTAAACACCAAAGATAACCCATTAATGTCTTATTTCCAGTGGCACACCGGGAGACAATCCTCTACTCTTCTAAGAGTGTACTGCATTCTTTAATGGGAATTGAACTGGGGACCAATTACAAAATTCCTGTAATATTTTTATATTTAAAAGGCACTGTTCCTGACTAATTAATTAATTTTATATCATATTGATGATTATCAAAACATAAATACAAGAAGCAAGTCTAAAAACACGTTGGTCTTTCTAAAATGGTGAAATGAATCACCTGTCGTCAATAAGCCACATATTCATAATGGTACATTTTTTGATCATTAAAAACATAAGAATATTATACCTTCACAGTCAACAGACACACAGTTTGTCAGAGCACTATCTGGCTGGCCTTCTAGACTGAAGAGTGGAGAAGCACCACTAGCTCTCTCTATCGTGACACAGATGTAATTGGCAACAGCATTACACTTGAAATCACTCAGGTCTAGAGTGGCTCCTATCCCTGAGATAGTCGTAGACGTCCCTGTCGCAACAGTTGTATCAGCTTGGCTAGAGGTAAGATCAGCATCTGCTAAACCCTTTAGAAACAGATTAGAAGCTTTGTTTGGAAAACATTTGAGCTGAGTGATGGTTTTCAATGAACACTACAAATATACCTAGGCCTGTAGTTGATTGACTCCAATTTTCATAAGTAAACATTCTAGAAAAACACAACATTTTTAGCCTTATATACAAATTTATTCACCCTTTATACTATCCTTCCATAGTGTCACTAAGTCATAATAACTTTAGCATACCTTCTTTTCACCTGATCCATCGGCATTGCTACTGATGAACACCTCCACTTCCCAAAGACCTGTTCCAGTGATTTCTGCAGATACATCAGCAGCAGTCAATGTGACATCCAGCTCCACATCAAATACCTCTGTCAACTGGAGTATAGGATCACCTTGATTCACTGACACTTCAGTGTCTGTTATTACCACACCTGAAATTTATTATAACAAATAGATCACACATTCATCATAATGTACAGTAAAATTGGCACTATAGTTTCTTGGTTTATTCATGAGGACATTTTGCATTATAATATTTGAATTGCAAGGGAAATATTAGACTAAATTAATATTTTTTATTACTATCTCTGTCGAAACAAATGTCAATAAAATGTACCCAGGGCCATTTTGAAAATACATTACCTGTGTTCTTATACAGAAAACCCTTAATTCAAACAATGAATTAAAAGGGTTTAATTAAAACAAATATGCCACTTTCCTAAAGTGAATTATTCAATAGGTCATTGAAATATTGTTTTGTTATTTATTAGTTCAAAAGAACAGAAGTTTTAAATTACCTTCACAAGCAAATTGTTTACAAGAAACAAACACTTGTGGGTTATCGTCCTCGAGGGTGAAGTCTGGAGAGGCACTGGATGACTTGGACAAGATTGCGCAGATGTGGTTGACATTTTCACAGATTACACCGTCCAGATCCAGGTTTGCAGATCCTGAAATAGCTATAGTGGCCCCTGCCATAAGGCTTGAGCTAGCATCATCAAGGGTGGCAGACAATTCAGATACGCGTGTTCCTGTACCTTCATTGTTAGCACTCAGGTACACTGCAACCTCCCATAAGTCAGAACCTGCTACTGATGCTCCATCAGAACTTGAAGTCACATCCAACTTTTTAAAATAAAATCATTCAAAGTTCAGATACTTTGCTAATATGATCAGAATTATAATATTACAATACAAAATGTACTAAAAAACAACCCCACCCCCCCAAAAAAAAAATGATTAGAATGACAACAGTAACAGCAACTACAAAAGACAACGATAAAATAAATAGTGGAATTACATGTCAGTTTTATAATCGGTTGTAACGAAGGCTAATTTTAGTCATCTGAACCAGGCTCCATCTTTACATTATTTTATTGCTAGGTCTATGATTTGGGCCAATAAATATAATTGTTTTTGATTTTTGACTTACAGCAAAACCAAATGGAAGCGAGTTTGCATCTTCAAGAATTGTGAATTCACCAATTATTCTCAAATCAGTGGCCGTCACATTAACACCTATTAAAACAAATCAACAATTGAAATTTATTCTTTTGAGACTGAAACAAAATCAACCTTTAGATAATAAACAATTCAAGACAATATATGGATTTTTTAACATAATGATAAGGATTATGGTGTAGTGGAATATACAATTCTATTATTTCTTAATGCTGTTCCAGTTAGAGTAACATTGCCAATAATTTGTTTATCCACTGTAGAATTCACAACTTTAAAAATATATAGAATTTAAAGAACTTATCTTTCACTTACCGATACACTCAACAGCAGAGCAAGTAGACAGGTCACTTGCATCTTCGATTGTAAAATCTGTCTCTGGGTTATTGCCCTTGGTAACAGTCAAGCAGAGATACTGAGCATTTTGACAGAGAACACCTGTCAGGTCCAGCGCTCCATTCACGTTATCTAATCCAGTTGTCACACCAGCAATAACTTCTGAATTCCCGGCAAATGGCACAACCAGCGTTGAAGAAGATGTATATGGCCCGCTTCCATCACTTGCACTGTTTGGAAAGAATGTAAGTGTCCAGAGGTTTTCTCCACTGACTGTTCCACTATCATGTGCTATGTCTAAACTGACGGAAAATGTAAGGTCATTTGATTCTGCACTAACCAATGGGGAACCCACATCAAGACTAAAGGATGTAGAGTCAACTTCAATGCCTGGAAGAGAAAAAAATAAAAATGTAATTGTAAAAAAAATCTAATATTTTTAATGATGTAAATTAAAATAACATAATTATAATTATATATTATTTTTTTTCTTGTTTTTTTCACTATAAGAACATACCTCGGCAATTAACAACAGGAGCACATCCCACTTGTGCAGTTGCCCTGTCTGGCATTGGAGACATTGAAAATGCAGGAGTAGGAGAATCGCCTTTTCGAAAGTCAATGCAAATATAAAGCGCTTCATTACAGGTGACACCTACGAGTGGCAAAGATGCCTCCAAATCGGAAATCTCCAGTGGGCTGCCAGCAGTGAGAGCAGCATTAGCCTGAGCCATTGTGAGAACCAGAGGTGTTTCACTGGTACCAATCTTTCCACCTTCACCATCAGTACTACTGATAAACATGCTGATCTTCCAAAGGTCGGTTCCAGAAATGCTGGCGCCATTTGAATCTGATTGGACAACAATGTCAATCGCAACATCTACGGAATCTTCACCCTCTTTTACACTACCACCACGAGCAATTGAGGCTGATGTTGATGTGGTTTCAACATCTGAAAAACAACATGATTAAGGCAATGTTAAGAATTATTCTTTAAATAAGAGCTAAGAGCTGGCCTGTCCTGGCTCAAAACACTGAACTGTGGTTTTCCATCTACCTGATCATTTTCTAGAGGGCGAATTTTTTTATGTGACTTTAGCGCAGAGAGTTGTTTTGTTTAAGAGAGCAATAAACACTGACCTTAAAAAAGCAAGAAACGTCAATAACAGAAAATAATGTGAAATGTTAAACACAGAAACAACAATGACAGTTACAAATCACCATCAAGGTTTGCAATGAGCTCGACACAGCATTACAAGTAAAAATTAACACTAGAACTCGTCACTGAGGAAGAGTTAGGTCATCTGCCGCACTTTTGACCTTTTACCTTCAGGAAACGTGTGCAGCGCGGATTGAAAAAAATTTAAATGCTAAAATTATGGTCTATAACATGCTCTAATTTAGTAAAAAAAAAAAGTAATTTTGAGCATTATAAAAGTTTTACGCACACTCACGTCATTACGCGCTTGCGTATGGTAATGGCACAGAAAGTTGACTTCCGATATGAGGTATACCTGTATATATGTCAACTCTTATTGACAAATGCCTGTTGGGGAAGGCTTCATTAGCAAAAATTATAAAATTTGACAAAGATTTCAAGGAAGAAAGATGAGGGGTCAGAAAAAACATTCATTTTGACCATGATGACGTCATATAAACTATAATACTTGTGTAAAGTGTCATTTTAAAATGCCTGTTGTTTGGTAATTGCATACGAAATAGACCATGTTAGTGATGAAATCTGCCGCCCTCTCTCGTCAAAGATTTGAAGAAAGAAAGAAATACACTCATTTTGACCATAATGACATCATCAAAGTGAAAAATGAATGACACTTTGTGAAAGGAAATTGTCTCACCTATAACATACTCTCAGGTGGGAGACGATTGATCAAGAATAAGCAGGATACATTCAAATGAGTATAAATATAATGATATAATGAGATAATGAGTCATAAATAATAATTCAGTTTTTTTTAAAAATTGAGATGGCAATATGATGATGTCACAATGTCCGATCAGCCACAGAATATATAATAAAAATTGGGGGTCACGTTCTTCCTAAGGAGCTATAAATGATTCAAAATAAGCATGATTTTAAGCATATTGAAATTTTGACGCATACATACGTATGTGCACGTTATGACGTGTGCACAGAAAATTAAGGGACATGACATTCAACATTGACATAAAGTTTATGATCACTGAATATGATTCAGAAATGACAACTGGTTAGGTTGATATGGGGGTCATCAAAGATTTGAGGAAAGAAAGATGAGGGGGTCAGAAAAAAACATTTATTTTGACCATGATGACATCATCAAAATCTAAAAAAGTTTACGAAAGAGAATTGTCTCTGCTATAACACATTCAAAGTTTGGAGACGATCGACCAAAGATAAGCGAGATACGCTCAAATGCATATTTTATAGATGAAATTCAGTTCTTTTTAATTCAGATGGTATGACGTCACAATGTCTGAACAGCCATTATGATCTATAAAATCATATTTATAACTCATGTGCTTTCAGAATATGTAATAACAATTGGGGGTCACCATTCATCCTAAGGAGCTATAACTGATTAAAAATAGGCCTAATTTTAGAATATTTTCACTGTATGTTTGATGTGCGCGTACTATTGGCCCTAAGATACTGAAAAGAATGGAAATTTGTGAATACAATGTCAGGAACCCATAATATGTGAAAAAAACATAATTTCTAGGTTTCATACGTGCTGCGCGCATTAGTGGAAAATGACAACCATTTTGAAATGCTCAAAATGACCTGAAACTGGCTCTAATTTAGTCAAAAAGAGATTTTGAGAATTTAAAAATTTTGACACACGCGGGTGCGCGTTATGATGCACACACAAAATATTTGGTATGGGACATTTAAACTTGAAGTTTATGCCCACTGTATATGATTTAGAAATGTCAGTCGGTTAGATGGATGATATGATTGATAACATAAAAACGCAAAATTGCGTGTAGATGACGTCACGCATGACTCAGCAATTTGAAAACATTATTGTGATTATTCCAGGCCAAGCCAAATGTTCGTTGAAGCGAGCATGTTCGTAGCTCACGGCAATTTTGAGATATCATGCTAATAAATATTTGACAGAAATGTAGAATAAAATAAAGAAGAAAAAGATCTCTGACAATAACCAGAAGTGATTCGCTATGTAGCGGATCACCAATAAAACAATTTGAATCCATTCACATTAACTTACTTCTACATGTAATTGGTGTACAACCAATAGTCTGTCCAAGTAACACAACTCGTGGTTGGATGGTAGTGCCTTGACGGACTTCCACGCACACATATGCTGCATCAATACAAGTCGTCTGAATATTTAAGGATGCTGCCACTGGATTAAATTCCAATGGTGTACCAGCTGTCAATACTTGATCCTCTAATTCTTGACTGATTGACCCGGATACTTCGTTTACTCGTACACCACTTCCAGTTGGATCATTAAAATCCTTATCACTCGTGAACACACTGATGAGCCACATGTTTATCGAGGAGTCACGGTCGCTGGCATCGCTGTCCAACGTGACAGACAACGTAATGTCATTGTTGTTTGAATTTTCAAGGACTGAATTGGATGTTGTGACTGTCATATCTGTTATATACACACCTGAAAATGAGGATAAGTGTCAAGATTACAGAGCTGTAAATTGAATGGATGGTCCCTTTATTTTTAGATAAAAGGCAACTTATTGGTTTATTCAGGTAAGTATGTCATGAAAAAAAAAAATTAAAAGTTACGGTGGAAGACTGGTATATTAAAAAAAATCTAGATAAACATAAAAAATTACATATAAAGTGGAGAATTTTTAAAATGTCCAATGGTACAATTGCTTGAATTAGGAAGATGTGAGTGTTTCCACCAAATCTATAGATGAGTCCAAGCTGGTGGTGAGATGATCACATTTCTGATGTTTTTGAGAGATATCCCTAAGTGTCAGGGAGCTTGGTATCCTGAAAGACTGCCAAAATCCCTTTTTCACAGAGGTTATCAATGATTAAGGCGAAGAAAGTGGCAATGATGATGATGCTGTTCAAAAATCAACAGATTAATCAGTGGTCAATGATGACAGGTGATGAAAATAGATAAGCTTAACTTACCTAGGCAGTCCAAAGGCTGACAACCAATCAAATCTCCTGAAAGAGTGAAGTCTTGTGGCTGGGGAGAATTGCCTTTTCCCAATTCAACACATAGATACATCAAGTTCGCACAAAGTTCATTTTCCAACGAAACAGTTGTCTACAGAATAAATGGGTAATAAGCAAGTGCTAAGAACAGACTGTAAGATTACCATCATCAACAGAATGAATAATATCCTAATATATATGTAGTACAATCTACTAATTCCACTAGTATTCAACCCAAAATAGTAGTAGTAGTAATAATAATAACAATAATAATAATAATAATTATAATAATAATAATAATAATAATAACAATAATAATAATAATAATAATAATAATAATAATAATAATATTTATACTAAATAGTATAATGATATTTGAAATATACTAATGAAAAATTTACTGGTACTCGTTTGGCTAAACACATCGTGAGAAGTGATAAACCAACCTCCAATGGAAGTAGACCCTACCTGAACCTGCTAAAAATTCTTGAGCAAATGCCAACCCCAATTAGCTGATAACAATCATGCTTGACAGATATGCCTGGCATAACCATGGCATTCAGAAGTGAGATTTAACATTGTGGGATGGTATAAGTAAAGTAAAATTTTATATTCTAGATTGTTCACTGACCTGTAAACTCAGTAACCTGAGTTCATTGGAACTGATACCATTGTTTGCTTTTGATCCTAGGGTCAAAGGACGCTCCAAGTATCTTGTTCCGCTTCCATCGCTTGAACGAGTCGCATAGAGTGTCAACTGCCAGAGCCCTGTGCCCGAGATGGTCGCTCCAGTTGGATCAACGCTAAATACAGCACTAATATCAAACAAATGTGAAGTATCTCCTTCAGATATTGCATCGCCCGTGTTGATGGTTAGTGCTGTGTCTGTGATCTCTACCCCTGTAAGTTCAATTAAATATTAAACACATTTTAGTTTGTATTGTTATCATAAAAGAACCCCTATGAATACATACATATTTACTGCTGTTCTAGAGCCTTTAATAAACCATTCAAACTAGATATGATATATTTTGAATATCATAGAAACATTTCACAAGCATTGGAATTTCTGTACCTTTACACATGACTTCTATACAAGTCGTAAGAACGCTATCATCTGGATCTGGCTGCAAGGTGAAAGATCTAGTTGGGTTGAAACCTTTAGACAAAGTCAGGCAGATGTAAGGTATCTGATAAAAAAAAAAAATATCAAAAATATATAATGATAAATGGTTATTTGCAATGCACTGGATAAAGCTGACTAACCATAAAAACAAATCCACTCCAATAAAGTGTATTTGGCTAAAAAAAAAATCTTTTTTTTTTTTATATTCATATTTGCTGTTGTTAAAAACACCCTAATCAATCATGATGTTGGTAGTATATGAGTGAGGTACTTACAGGATAAAACCCTGCCTTACTTGCCCATGAACTGTGTTTTTTCCAGTAGTGTTCTGGATTATGGGAACAAGGCAATTAGTCAGTTTATCCAGCTAAGTATTCAAGAAATAGACTTGAAAATCACTGGCAGTAATTTTTTATATCCAGTGACTATTACAATGACGTTATTTACAATATAATACAGATCTTCAAATTCGGGCACTTGCTGTGGACGGCGGTTGTCGGCCGACGCAATTCTATGGAGAATCATGACCATATTTAGACCATCATAACCATATTTAGGCATGTCACTTGTTTTTGTTAAATTAAAGTTAGTAGGTTCTAGACAGGGCTTTAGATGCAAAATCATTTATCTATAGTACTAGTTTATTATTTCTTTATTTTAAACGAGTAATTAAATCTTTTATTAAAATTTTGGCCTGGAATCCTGCCAAAATTCTTACCCTGCCCTAATGAGAAACATTCAACATAGAACATATTTCACTCGAATTACAAAGTATAGGCTATATGCTAAAATCCCGAAAATGTAGCTACTCCACATATAATAATGCTTGAGTGAGGTCCCACCACCTTAAGTTTTGATATAGAGTAATATATTATAATGGATAAAAATCAAATTTGTTTTATTGTCTTCTAAAAAGAGTCTCCTAATAAGAGATAAGAACATGTGAATAATGATCGAAGATCTTACAATTACAAGATAGTGTTCTCCATGATTTCTGCGTGCAAATTCTGTAATAATGCAGTGTAGGATGCCCTCACACAAATGTATTACTTTTCAACTTTGACATCAGAGATTGTTAACTGAAGATAGCACATAAGTAATTACATTTTATGCTTCTTTTTACTAAACACTGACGCTTCTATTTGTTAAGCTTACAATCGCAGAGAGCGCTATCTTGCAATTATTAGATCTTTGATAATGAAACAAACCTGATCGCACTCAATAGAAGTTAAATCAAAGGTAACAATTGGGGCCGGAAAAATATTTATTCCAGCATTATGGATAGTATAGGAGACACCCGGCTTTAAGTATTCAATGCCGCTGCTATCTCCTAAGCCGTCAGGCTGGGTGTTAGGAAAGAAAGTGTAATTCCAAAGACGTTGACCGGTCTCAAGCAAAGCGCTCTCAGGAGATACAGTAATGACTAATGACTGCACTCGGAACTGGTAGCTACTTTCGTGTTCTACTGGCTGTTCAGGAATTCCACTTAGGTCTATTTCAGTGATTATAACACCTATTGCGGACCAAAAATTCAAATTTAGTATTAGCATTTTAGTATTGATATATAATTATATATAATAATGCATAATTTTAGTTTTGAAATTTTAGACCTACTGTACCTTGTTTACACAATAACAATAAATTGATTTGATACACATTCACTTGATGACAATTAAATTGAAATAACATACTAACTGAAAGCAGAAAATATTTCAAGCTCCCAATATGGCAGGCATTGGTTTAAGTTGTTATATTATTTACTGAGAAAAAACCTGAAATATTTTAAATTTTAATTTTAGCTCATGGCCAGGAATGTGGGTATAAATTTTGGACGAGATATCAGAAATTTCACAAAAGTTGATTAAAATATAATTTAAATTGTAAATTGACAAGAAATCAACCAAACCCAACCAAAAAAATACTTGAGATATTTTGTTTTCCAAACAAATAATGATCCACAAATGTGAGCATTTTTTATGGGTCTATTTCAGATCACCGTGCATGCCCATTGCTTTCATACCAAAAGGTTTAGCCTAATTGAAATGTTCTGATGTATCTTGTAGAGTTTCACATTATAAATGTTTCATAATCTTAATATTTATGACAGGAAATACATTTAATTAGCATAAAAACAAGATCTATTCAGGGGTTGATGTTTGCTTCTAATTTTGAAGGGTGGGGTAGGAAGACTTAAGACGAGACTTAATTTGACAAAAGAGCTGAAAATGGAAAGCATTGCAAATCCCCAGGCATTAATCATGGTGGGCCTGAGGTGGTTGGCACCTAAGGTACCTGTGGTACCACAACATTTTCAAACAGTTTAAAGATGTACCAGAATCTGAAAAAGGTTAAGAACCAGCAATTGAAATGAAGTCCAAGACTGTTTTATTTGAAGAAGACAAAATTACAAAATTCATAGGAGGAGAAAATAAAAATAAAAGTAAATTATTGAATGTGAACAGTGTAGTAATGGGATAGTTAAATGCTTTAAATTTATATAATTAGGAAGAAATATACATTTTTTTTAGGTTGATATTTTAAGGTAGTGGTGGGAGTAATAAAAATGAATAAAAACTTTCATTCTTTTCTGAAATTTATATTTTATTTTTTGTGGTGGGCAGGTGCACTAATTGACCAAAAATAACATTTTATTTTTTTTCGAAATCATCATTACTGGCAGGTCGCCGGTTCGCTAAACAAGGTATAACAAAAGTCTCGTCTAACAGAATTTACAAAATTAAGAAATAGAGTACCATTGCATGGAAGGACGGTACATGCAGTTTCTGCATTATTCTCAGCAGTAAAAGTGAATTCGACGCTTGATGATGGGTTGCGACTGATATTGGCACAGATGTATGGAACACTTTCACAACTGGCAGAATCCAGATCTAATGAAAATGTTAAGTCTGAAAGCGTAGTGGTTCTTCCACTTACAACACCTACAACAGGAAAACAATGTGGTTATTATGATAGTGAATATTCGCAGTAACAACCGAGCCACAAGAAAGCATTGCGGAATATATAATAATTATACAATGCTCTACAAAACTATTGAGGTTGGTTAAGATGTGTATAAGAGACAGCCTATATATTATCCCATGTTCTTCTATTGTATTTATCAGTATCAATGGTAGCTTACCCTACTCGATATTACGGTACATTGTTTTTCACACTTTATATTCATTATGTTGTTCCCACCGCATACCATTACCCTCACATCTCCAATATTGTATATCTTATTTAATCACCCTCCTTTATTTAATGCCAACTGTTTATTGTACATTATTATCTGATCTAGTATTTGCCACCTTGAATCAGTTATGCTGATGAAGTCTTGAGTACTAGAATGTAATAATAATAATAATAATAATAATAATAATAATAATAATAAAATTAATAATAATAATAATAATAAGATAGAGATAAAAGGCACGTGTTTCTACCTTCTTGTGCCTGTCCGGAAGTCAGAGTAATTTCCGTAGAGAATTCATGGGTTACATCCATTCCTGTGTTGTCTGTGTTTGTGAAGACTGTAACACTCCAGAGTCCTGGACCACTAACATTGGCAGACAGGGCAGCAGCTGTCATCGAGAGGTCAACCAATACCCCAGTGTTTACTCGGTTCTCCTTGACTGCAGAGGGCGCTGTTACTATCAGAGTGCTGCTGATAATTGTAACACCTTAAAAAACAAATATTTTCTGGTATATTGTTTTTCAATTGATTTATATAACACATTGAGTAGTTCATTCATTTTAACTGCTTCAACTTTGACAAACAAACTGTCAGTCATTACAAATAATTACATTTGATACTTTGTTGTCCATTCTCGCTTGTTCTGGGTGCTAATATTCTTACATAGCACTTCACTAAATACAATAGTGTTTACAATTATATAACCACTAATAATTAATACAGCTGATAATTGGATTTACAGTTAAAATCTCTGGGCACTATGATTATAGCTGGACTTACCAACACATGTGACTTCTCGGCAAACTCTTAGGACACTATCATCAGGAATACCTTCCAAGGAGAAATCTCTGGAGTCTCCTTTCATTAGCTCTACACATAAATAAGTTGTCAATCCCTTACAAATAATGTTTGACAGATCAAGCTCAACAGTGACATCATCAAACTTGAGTGTACCACCTGCAGCAATATTCAAGTCAGCACCTGACCCTAAGATGGCATTCGCTAATGTGCTGAAGGAGTCACCAGAGCCATCACTGGCATCGTTGATGAACACCTGTAAAGCCCAGTTTCCATCACCATCAACAGCACCGCCATTTACATCTGATGTGAACACAGCATCAAATATAAGAGAAAATGAGCTGTCACCCTCAATAATATCACTGCCCTCTACGATTGTCAAGTTTGAACTGGTTATGACAACACCTGCGAATTGGGGGACAAGGATAGAAATAATAATGGGTCCAAATACTTAAATGATTTTCCCAACAAATTACTAAGTAAAGCTCTGTCCAGGCTATCAACATTTAGGCTATGTTCTCACACGGCAGCTAACGGTTAGCAGGATCCGGATCCTGCTAACCGTTAGCTGCTGTGCGTCCATGCGAGAAAATCCCGATCCGGATACCAACAATATGACGATCGAATCACTGGCCAATAAGAAACTGGAAATTGTATACGTGTGATTGGTTGATGATAGAAACGCCCTCAACTTGCTAACCGATAGCGCTTGCTAACCGTCAGCGTATCCGGATACCGCTAACGGTTAGCACTAACTGATCGGGCGTTCTCCACAGGTGCTAACGGTTAGCGCTAACGGTTAGCTCCCGATCTGGATACTAGGGCTCTCGTGAGAACCAGGCTTTATTTGAAAAAATTATCTCACATGCTTAAATATGGTCATGATGACATCACAATGACCATATATAGGCACATCATGACTATATATGGACATACAACAGTCTTTTGTCAAAGAAAAATTGATAGAGTGGACGGCTCAAGCTTTATACATTGACAAATGATATTTAATGAAATTGTTACAGATACACAACATGTAAACGGACAGAACACACAAAATCAGACACAAAACATAAATGAATTGTTTAAATGAAATAACACAAACAATTAAGTTTTCAAAGGACACAAATTGAAGATTTTCTAACCTTGGCATGTCACCGGCTCACATACTGTTAATTTTTCATCATTTATTTCAGGCACGTCTTCATCGTAACCATTGAGGGTGAACTCTGGGACCGATGCTGCATCCCTCATTAGCACTGCGCAGATGAACAAGGCATCGCCACATGTCATGTCCGTAGTGTTGAGCTCTGCCATTAAATTGTTGAAGGTTAGGCTTTCTCCAGCTGTTATCGGCTGACTGTTGGATGAGCCAGCCAAGGTGCCTAACACTTTTGGGGTTGTAGCGGGTGTTCCAGTGACACTAGATGATGTAAAAACCTAATATGCAAAACAAGAAAAATCTGTGAGTGTTAAGAACACCTTAACTGGGGCTTTCATGGGAGCTAAAATCTGACTAGATTAGAGGCAATTGATTTCACACTGTAGAGGAATCTGCCTATGAAAAAAGTTCAATCTATATGAACATGGATCTTTCACATACATAGAGAACTTGACGTGTTGCATTTTCATTCTTTTGAACAAGTTTCATGTCACAATTTTTTTGAAATAGCACTATTGTTGCATGTGACTAGACAGTCAAAGATTTTTGACAAGGTTTCTTAGAAAAGTTGATATCATTTTGATTCATTGTAAATGTATTGATTTTGATATTTCCATCTTTTACTTGTGTAATGTTTGTGTGTGTAACTGAATTTGGGGTTGGGTCAACCAACTTAGCAACAGCTAGTCTCCCCAAAATTTCAGAGTTTTTTTTTCTAACTTTCTGTTATGTACTAATGTTTGAAAGACCAAAAAAATAATGAAATGAAGATAGATTACTTGTATACATACAACCTGATTTCAGGTATTTTGGGAAAACCCAGAAACATCAAGTGGAGTAATGCAAAAAAGATCAAGAACTGACCTGAAGGGCCCATAGGTCATTGCCAGATATGTCAGCTCCAGTAGCATTAGTAGTGAATTGAACATTCAGTTGAACATTGAACGAGGCCAAGCCTTCTAATATTGGTATAGCTGAAGATTCTATGTCAAGAGTTCCATTTGTCACACGAACACCTACATACAAAATACAAAAGTCAATTCAAATTCATTTCACGATTGGCATTGTATATATAAAATAAAGTTGTCCAGACATTCAAATTTTCTTTGAAAAAACACTGTTGCATGCCCATGTATATTAATGATATGCCTATATATGGTCATGATGTGATGTCATTATGACCATATTTAGGCAATTTGATAGTTTGGACAGGGCTTTAAGATGAGAACAAGGCATCATGCAACTTTGTTGGTTATTGAACTGACACTGTGATTCATGCAAATAAATATAACTAAGAAATAAAAGAATAAAATATCATTTTACTATAACATTAACATTTATGTAACGCACATTTCTACAATGTACATCATAATCAGCAGCGCTTTACATGACTTTTAAAAAATTAATTATCATAACACTGCTGAAAGTTGAATTTCTTCAGCTTTCTTTTAAACTGTTTGTAGGTCCCGCCACATAGAACGAACGATCTGCAAACGTCTTTTGTCTGGTGGTTAAAACTAAACCCCCACAAGACACCATCCCAATATTTCCGATTCTTGGTTCCAAGGTTGTGATTTTCAAAGCAGGATAAACATTTATAAAACATGAATAGTCACTTATCTACGGTATCTATTTTTTATTCATGTTCTTAGATTTTTAAGGTTTTTTGAATTATTAAAATTTATATTTCTAATTGTTTACCTAATATAGCATCTTATTAATCAATCTTCTGGCTTTATCCTATTGAACCTTTTCAGTCATTGTATAAGTTAATATGATACTTGAATTATAAATATTAATTGCACATCTGAATTGTAAATAAATTAATGATAATCTGAATTGCAAATAATAATTGAAATTTTAGAATTGTAAATAATAATAAGATAATCTGAGATTACAAAACCTTGCCCTGTTGCGCCATATCTATGTACTGAAAAATAATGGTCTATCCTCTAAAATCGGCTTTGAATAGCCAAACGAGGCCTAGCATCATAGGCTGTGTTTAGTCCGCAGCACTTATTATTCGATAATATATCAGAAAGCGGCAATTTTGTTATTTTTCGCTGTGGAAACAGGGCCAAAATTCCCCATAAATTTTTGTATGAGAATCAGATAATTTATCGGAAAAAGATTGAAATGCAAAAATAAATTACCTTTGACCAATTGCATATCACGGCCAAAGGTTGGATGACTAGTTTCTAGGGCAACTAGTAGTTAGTAGGGTTGAGATCTACAGAATCAACCACTTCATAATAAAAAGTGAGTAAATTTTTCGTGCTTATTAAATATTTAAAAAAAGCCTGAAAATGCTACGCTTGATGTCGCCGGTGGCTGGCTGAGTTTAGGTCTATACCTACCTATTGTTTATTGTTTACCAAACAAAGCTAAGCAAGCATTCTTTTTTGGCTTCTTATCAATCCCTATAGAAGTACAATGAAACATCATTGCAACAGTATCTTCCAGATGAGGTCAAACTATCCGATCGTTTTGGATATGTCTGTTGCCACCAGAAAATATATAAACAACATTCTAAAATCTGTATCTTACTTCCAGCAATTTGAGGACTGAGACAAATGTAACATTTTCAATATGTAGAAATTTGAAGTAAATCGATCCCGTAGTTTTGGAGTTATGAGCCCGGAAGGACACACAGACACACAAACACCGGCGCGCAATATTGCAATATCTCCTCGGAGTGGTGAGGATAAATACTGCTTACTATGTTTTCGTAATTTGTACTTTTTGTGATTATTGTTTTCATGTTTCTTGTTATGTTAACTCGCATAACAGGATTGCCTTTTGGATTTAATATGAGGTTTTTATACCAAATAAATAAGAAATATAAATAAAGCAATTCAAACAAATTTGCAACATAAAACTTCATAGTATGTATAGTACTTAAGATTAGTAGAAGTAGGATATCTTCTGTAGGTCTAGGCCTAGATTAATAGGTTTAACTATTATATTTTCATTAACTGCCATTCCATATTCCTTAAAATCTACCTACCAATACATTCAATTGGAGAACATCCCACAAGGGCATCGCCTGTTGGTGAACCTTCAAGTGAGAAGAGTGGATCTGCTGCATCATTGCGCGATACCTCCACACACATGTACATAAAACTTGAACAGCTGATGCTTGACAAATCAAAGTCTACTGAAAGTAATGAGAGATCTGTATTCGATCCTGTAAGGGAAACAAAGTAAGAAATTTTATAGAATACTTCATATATTATTATTACTACAGAAAATTTACCAAGTATTCAACATTTTTAATATACAAAAATTTCACTATTGTAAATAGACACAAAATATAAATGATTTCCAAATTAAATAGTGGACATAAATTACAATTTATTAAACTAATATATATTTTGAATAATAAAATAATAACTTTACTGACCTGGAGTAACTCCTACTGCTCCAACCCCTGTAGTGTCTACTGCAACTACAGCAGAACGGTCACCAAAACCATCACTCCTAGAGCTGCCAAATGCTGTTACAGACCACAATGTCTCCCCAGTGGTTAAAGTTGAAGAATCACTAGCAGGTGCCATTGAGATGTTAAACTCCAGAGTCTCTGTACTGCCCTCCTTGACGAATGGTTTATCTGTGGTAAATGTTAACTCTGTGTTTTCTACAATGACGCCTTCACATGCCTTGCGTTCACAAGCAGTCAATAATGCATCGGTTGGACGACCAGAGAGGGTAAAGTTCTTGGAAGCAGTATCAGCCATCTTAAGGGTTGCGCAGAGATAAAAGATGTCACCACATGGCAGGTACATTGGGCTGGAGAAATCCAAGGTTGCCGAGACTGAGCTGAAGTCCAAGTTCTCACCAGGAATGGCAGGTATATTTGCAACATTCTGTGGAAGTACACCATACACTTCTGAATACATAACACCAGTGCCATCAGACTCACTATTTACAAATACTTCAATGGCCCACTGATCACTCCCATCAATTCCTCCTGCATCCTCTGCCACCATGAAGCGCAAGTCAAGATCTACAACCTGATTGCTTGCACCTTCTTTGAAGGTTATACCACTGGATTCCGTCAATGAAGAACTGGTGATAACAACACCTAGAAGAATAATCAATTGAGCTTATTAAAATACCATAGATTCCAACAGCAAATAAAATGTCATAAAAAAGATCCTCCCCAGATATTTGAAATGTTGGTGTAACCATTCTAATAAAATAATAAAGATACAGATTATATAAATCTGAGCAACTTGTGACATATCAAAAATATGATGCACTTCCAGCAAAAAAGCATTACGCAAGATAAAGATGCAACATGAAAATAACAATGTTTACCTTCACAGTCAATATCTACACAGGATGGGAAGACACCAGTATTTGGGTTAAATGTGAAATCGGGATTAGCAGCATCATTTTTCTCCAGGATAACACATAACTGAACTGTGGCAGGGCAGATAAAGTCTGTTAAATCTACGGTTACTGTTAGATCCGAAAGCTGAATATCTGTTCCTGCAGTTATGTCTTTACTGGCCTCACTGACAGATATCACAACATTCTCTTCAGGGGTGAAGTTATTTCCATTCTGTAAAACAGATATTTAGAATGTAATAAATTGGTTTTTTTTCCTAACTTAACAATATTTCCACACAAGATCATACTCTCCCCGTGAACGTTTTTTTTTAATTCCGGGACTGTAGTTTAATAGCTGTGCTTAGGATGCTTACCTTCCAATCCCATGAATTTAGGTTCAATCCCTCTCACTGTTAAACAAGATTGGGGTGCCAAGGGAGTTTGATTTTTTGAGGATGTATAGGCTTTGCATAAAATGAAACTAAACACTGTTGCACTGTTGTTTAAGGTCAAATAAATATTGTGGTGCAGAAGCATATTTAGGTCATACTCTCCCCATGAACCCTACCAGAGATCTTTTATTCTGGGAGCCACTTGGTTTGAATCTTCTGTCGGACATCTTAGAGTGACCTTCTGTAAGCAAATTTCTGGAGCTACCACTAGACTGTAGTTTAATAGCTGTGCTTAGGATGCTGACCTTCCAATCCCATGAATTTAGGTTCAATCCCTCTCAAGATTGGGGGTGCCAAGTGGGTTAGATGCTTTGAGGGGTTTAGATGTTTTGAGGATATTAAGGCCATTTTCTTAATAGGCTTTGCATAAAATGAAACTAAACACTGTTGTTTAAGGACAAATAAATTAATTAATAAATTAATATATCAACCAACGTTACCCTGTCCTTCAGATCTGCAGTAAGCTTCCAAAGATTATCACCAGATATACTGGCCCCATACGCGTAAGATGAGATGGTCATTGAAAATGTAATTGTATTATTACTTCTTTCAACAACTGGATCACCACTTGAGGTAGAGACAGATGTACCTGTGAGTCAAAATACAATAAAATTTGAAAAAGAAGAAAAAACGAAAGTTTTGTAACCAACAGCCGTTGAATGTAAGATTCCAACGTTTGTATTTATTAATCATGAGTTTAATTTGCTTAAGCATTTTGTTTATATTAACAATATATTTGCAGTGTCATGATGTCTAAACAAATGAAAAATAACACTATATAGTTAGTATTTTATACATTAAAAGAAAAATTGAAATATACAAATGTAAAATGTAACCTCTATAGCAGATCCTTTAGTCATTTTAATCATATATTTTAATTTTAATTTCAATGTATAAATACTGTCTCTTATACACATCTAGATGTGTATAAGAGACAGATAGAGAAGCGAAAGTTTCTCCATAGTGCTCTCCTGAGCCATCCTGATTTGCACTGACAAACACATTGAATTGCCACAGGTCTGTTCCGCTCAGAACTGCACTTGAGGCACTGGATTCGATCTCAAAATCAAATGTAACATTAGTTGCTGAATGCTCCTTGATCTCATTGTCACTATCTAAATTTCCAGTATCACCATCAATGACAACACCTGAGTAAGAACATAGAGCATGTTAGAATATTTATCATCATTAACATTTTTACCATTAGCATAATAATGCAATAACAATAATAATAATAATAATAATAATAATAATGAATAATAATAATAATAACAATAATTGAAAAACCGATGTATTGATTCTATCCTATTATCATCATCATGTTCAAAATCACTATCATTATCATGTTATACCATCACCACAATAATTATATCATATCATCATAAAAAGAAGTTTAAGATGATAGAACAGTTATAATTAACAGTTTCATTACCTACATAAATACCACATTCATCATTTGTCATGATACCGTAATCATGTTTATCAGATTATAACTACTAACATCATCAAAATCCCCAACATCGTCACCACAAACATTGCTATTAAAAATTTGTGCCTTTTGATAATGTTTACATACCACTTTGGATTTAAGTCCTTGAGTATTAAAGTAAATCAGTTTTAAGTTGTCACTAACCTTTGCATGTTACAGGAATACAAGACGGGTCAGATGGAAAGGAGATAGTAATATCTGGTGTAACATCACTACGCTTGGAAGCCAAGACACAGAGGTACTGCATGTCATCACAGATCAAGCCATATGTATTTAAAAGAGTATCGTTCGTTGAAAATACCCGAGGATTAACAGTGTCTACCCCATAGGCCAACTCTTCAGCTGTTAACGGAACGACAGTGGCAGAGCCACTGATTATGCTGCCATTACTCTGAGGACTGGTGAACAATGTTAGGTTCCAAATGTTTGAGGCTTCATTATCTACATAGGAGGGGGGAACATATAGTATTAATAAAATCTAGTTAAATTGCTTCATATAAATGCTAATGTAAGATGTAACCATGATAATAATTACATTTTTTATTCACATATTTTGATCTTAATTTCAATGTAAAACATATAGTTTACGTGTCAACAGCCGCTAAATGTAAGATTCCAACATCTGCATTTATTAATCATGAGTTTAATTTGCTTAAGCATTTTGTTCATATTAACAATATATTTGCAATGTCATGATGTCTAAACAAATGAAAAATAACACTATATAGTTAGTATTTTATACATTAAAAGAAAAATTGAAATATACAAATGTAAAATGTAACCTCTATAGCAGATCCTTTAGTCATTTTAATCATATATTTTAATTTTAATTTCAATGTATAAATATTATTAACTTAATAAAAATTGTGATAAATTAGGCAGACTTTTTTTCTAAATAAGATTAGTAATAAAAAGATGATTGTACAGTTGGGAATGAACAGCTTTCTCGATGATTTTTTGAACAGAAAGGAAGAACAGAAATATGACGATAATTATCAATGCGACAGGGATTACCAGATTTGAAAACCGGAGTAACCAAAGCCCTTTTCCAGTCCTGAGGAACAATGCTTTGTGAAAGAGACATGTTACATAGATGAGTAATAATAGGACAAATGACATGGGCTGCCGACATCGAAAGCTTCCCAGTCATGTTGTCCAGACCTGACAACTTGGAAATATTCATCTTTAAAATCTCATTTAAAACAAAATCATTAGTAATCATTTCAAAATAGAAGGTACTATTGCTTTCTTGAAATTGTAAATAGGTAGAATGGTCAGTAGTACTGTCTGGTATTGTTTTTGCAAGTTCTGTACCTATTATCAGTTAAAAAAAAATATCAAATGCTTTGGCAACTTCAAATTCATTGGAAATGTCTTGATCATTAACCATTATGGTACTAGGAACAGCAGATGCTTTACATGAAGAAATAAGGTGTCTCAAACCTGACCACATTTTTTTAGAATTACCTTCATTTAGTTTAATATGTTTTTTTTGTGTAAAATTCAATGGTAGCAGTCTTACAAAGGGAAGTAACTCTATTCTTTGCATCGTTTGCTCTTCTCCATTCATCAACGTTCTGTTCTTTTAGCTACGGACCTTACATGATCATGATGCATCATATTAAAAATATCTGTACGATTTGACAGCCAATCAGGAAGCTTAGATTTGAAACATCTAGTAATTTAGCATGATAATTAGAAACATTCCTAAAGATATATCGCAAACTTGCCCCCAGCAGAATCAAAGTTACATCTTGGATTACCAAATGAAAAGGAGTGGATTGTAAATCATGTCAAAATAAGTTAGGATTAAAATGTTTAAAACTTCTAAATGTTTTAGTAAAATGTTGGTTAGAATTAGTTTTAACGTTAATAATGGTCCATTTATGGTCATGATCACTATTGCACAAGGAGAAATGTTAGTGTGCATGTGCATGCTGTTGGTGACAAAACTTTCGTTTTTTCTTCTTTTTCAAATTTTATTGTATTTTGACAGGTTTCACTGATGATTTTGTCCATATATTTTTTTTATTTAAATTTTATTGATTAGCCTATTTTACTTGAATATTTTATGCTAATTTGATTTATGTTCTCACTGGCATCGGAGAGCCACTAGACAGTGGTTCAGTTCACTTTTTGGCAATCCTGTCTGGCCAACTGAGTGTTGTTTTTTGTTCTTTGTTATCTTGTGTTTGTCAATTTTAATGTTTTTTGGATGAAATAAATGAAATGAAATATGACGTCAATGAGAGTCGAAGATGTTTGAGTTGTGCATGTTGGTATAGTAATGAGTTGAACCAAATTAAAACTATGCTGCTATGTCAATTAAATGCAGTGTTGTTATTAGGATGAATAAAATCACAATTAAAATCACCTGTCGAAATAAAATGTTTTGTGTAAGTGTTCAAGAGTTCGAGATAATGTTTGAGTTCATGGATGAATGCTACTGCTACTGTTGCTGATGGAGGTCTGTACAAGGTAGTACTGTAATTGTTACACTCTGGCCAGTGTTATTCTTTTTGATTGCCAGATCTTCCAAGCTAACAACAGTATTTATCAGATTGAATGGTGTGCTAGAGGTGACGAACACTGCCACTCCGCCTCCCGCTCTACTGCGATCATTTGATACCTAGGAACAAGTAATTCACTATTTCTATTTATTTTACTTTTATATATAACAGTGATAAATTGCAAAAATGGGTAAAACAATGTGTTATATAAACTATTGACAAATGTCAAGAATGCTATTATTTGAAAAAACATATTTCAATCCCTTGCTGTGCATTTCACTTGTGTCCTTGAACAAGGCACTTTATTTGCATTGCTTCTATCCACCCAGGAGTATAACTGGGTACCTAAGGAGATTCGAGTGCAAAATGTGACTGAAATATTTCATGCAGCAAACAATGGAATTTACCCCATAGGCATCGTTCCAATGACTGGGGTAATAATGTGGAAAAACGCTCTGAGACTTAGTTGTATAGAGCGCTTTATAAAAACCTACATATTATTATTATTATATTGAGTTTACTTACCATTTAAAGTTCTGGAGTTACTAGCTAAGTGGATTTCAACGATAAGATCCAAGGGAAATGACATATCAGCCTCACAGAGGGGTTGATCATCAGCTCCAGTAACTGCCAGTGTTACATTGTGAACAATAACACCTAAGAATACAAATGATAATGTAGATTAAGAAAATGAAAAAAAAAAATTTAGTAAGAATATATAACTCTATAGTAATTACTAATTATACACAGAGTAGCATAGTTCTATCAGTACTGGTCTAAA